ACGCCTCCGAGCGATGCCGAGTTCAGAGAAGTGTCGTGTTCCCCTCCACTTCCTGTACCCTCCAAGATGCTGCTGGGAATCGAAGGTTATGCACGTCTCTGCGCGCGCGTGTGTGTTGTCTTCCCCCTGATCCAGCCGGGGGGGGGGCCTCCGGCCGAGGCCGGGGGGGGGGGCGCCGCAGCCGGCGGGCGCGGGCTCGGTGGAAGACAAGACGGCGGAGAAGCTCCCAGGGAGCCGAGGCCCCGAGCACAAGCCGGAGCTGCAGTTTGGTTCGAAGACTACGATACTCCAACCTGATGATGCTGATGCTGATGATGATGACGACGACGACGATGATGATGATGATGATGATGATGATGATGATGATGATGATGATGATGATGATGATGATGATGATGATGATCCTCGGTCGTCATCATCATCCTCGTCATCATCATCATCATCAGCAGCATCATCATCATCATCGTCATCATCATCATCATCATCATCGTCATCATCATCATCGTCATCATCATCATCATCATCATCATCATCATCATCATCATCATCATCATCATCATCGTCGTCGTCGTCGTCATCATCAGCATCAGCATCAGCATCAGCATCATCAGCATCAGCATCAGCATCATCATCATCATCAGCATCATCATCATTATCTTGCAGCCTCGAGCCGCAGAAAGAATCTCGAGCACTAGGAAAGGATCGACCCTGGGCGACTTGCACGGGTCGGGTCCTGGGATTCGGCACCTCGCCGGTGCGTCGGGCAGACTCTGCTGCGATACAGCAACGAGGTTCGAAGAAGAAAAAAAACATACAAACTCCCGGAGGTCCGCGCGGGGTTCTTGGATCGGCGCTCGACCCCCCTCCCCGGCGCGCGGAGCGCGCCAGCGGTGCCGCCTGAGGCGCCGCCAAGGGCATCAGCTCCGATCCAATGAATCCGAGAGCCCCTCCAAAAAATTATGCAGTGTTCGCTCTCCCGGGGCCCTCAACTGGACCCAGGACCGTCGAAAAGCAAGTCAAGACAAACAACGGCATAGGGAAGTGGCCCAGACCTCCGGGGGTCCACGCATCGAAAAATTGAAGCGCTGGATGTCTGAGTTCGTTCGGGGAGGCTCTTTTGCTTTAGACTCAGGCCGCAAATTTACTCGCATGGCATTCCCCCCCCCCTCCGCCGCCGCTTTCAACAGCGCGCTGGGCAGGAAAGGCGTGCAAGTGAGCCCCAACTTGCGTGAAGTCAAGATTTCCCTTCGGGCCTCACCACGCCCCCCCCATTCCATTGAGCAGGGACCGACGGTCCCAGCATTCCTACATTCATACCACGAAATGTTCTTAGAACCCAAAAAATGTTCTAAGAACAAAAACAATGTTCTTAGAACATAAACCCGATGTGATAAAACAAGACCGACTCCGCCAGAAATGTTCTAAGAACATTTCGTGGGAACCACAAAAGGTTCTTAGAACATTGTTTGGTGGGGCTATAGGCGAGCCGGGACGCTTCGCCACTGCTTGGTGGATGTGCGGTCGCACGGACACGGTCCACGCGGGGCGTCCGCAAACAAAACTCCCCGCGTCCATAGGGGGTCGCGACCCCAGGGGCCCGGCCCGGGAGGCCGTGGCTATGGACACGCTTCGCGCCCACGAGCCCCCCCCCAATTGGGCGCCCGAGTTATCCGGGGTAACTCGGGTCCGGGGTAACTCGGGTTTGGATTCCCGAAGAAAGGAGCCCGAGTTAGCCCTGACCCGAGTTACCCCTGATGATGTGGGGCTCTGGACGCCCGAATTATCCGGGGTAACTCGGGCCCAGGGTAACTCGGGTTCGGATTCCCGAACAACGAACCCGAGTTAACCCTGACCCGAGTTACCCCTGATGATTCGGGGCTCTGACCCCATTCTCCGATGGGCTGGCCGCGCCTGGACCACCAAGCAGCTGGCGGCAGTCTCCGTCAGACGGGGAGCAAGGACCCTAGCACAGCACCTCGAGAACGGCAAAGGTGAAGAGGCGGGTCGAGGCGTGGGAGGTCCACTGTAGGGGACAGGGGTGAGAGCACGCCCATGTGCACCTCAGTACGGCAGGTTCGCGCGGCGCCGGCGCGCGGAAAGGCTTTTGGCACCGCGCAGATCGTTCAACCTTGAATCGATCGCGGCCCCGATCGCTCCAGGTTGAATTCAGTCGGGTCCAGAAGCGTTACCGTGTCCATCGGTGCGTCCGCGTCGCAGAATTCAACCTGGAACGCCCTCGCACGAGTCGCCAGAGGCCTGTTAGAGGCATCGTAGAGGCATCGTAGAGGCCTCTTAGAGGCATCGTAGAGGCATCTTAGAGGCATCGTAGAGGCATCGTAGAGGCATCGTAGAGACATCGTAGAGACTCTTAGAGGCCTCTACGATGCCTCCCTGCGACGAGCAAGATTTCCTCACGTTTCAAAGAAAAAAACTGGGGAATAAACCACTTGGACCAAAGAATACCACACTCCACCGGTGCATAAACCATCCAACCAGTGTTTACAATTCGACCCCCGCTGGCCCTCCTCACATCCCTGCCTATGCCCTCCGCAAGTCAACCATGTCTGCGCAACCCTCACATGTTTCGTGGCACCACAGGGAGCTCCACCGACCGCCCTAGTGGCGCGGTCCGCATGGCGGCACCGCACACATTTCGCCACACCCCTTACACGTTTCGTGACACCATAGGGAGCTCCACCGAAGGCCGCACTGGCACAGTCCGCATGGCGGCGTCGCACCAAACTCGGCACACCCCTCACACATTTCGTGGCCCCATCGTCCGTCGTGCGACGACAGACGACGGACGACGATGACCACGACAACGACGACGACGACGACGACGACGACGACGACGCCGGCGGCGGCGACGACGACGACGACGACGACGACACGCGACGGAGACGACATCGGCGAAGACGACGACCACGACAACAATGACGGCGGTGGCGGCGGCGGTGACAACGACGATGACGGAAGACGGACGGAAAAAACGACGACAACGACAACGACAACGACGACGACGACAACGACAACGACGACGACGTCGGAGGCAGCGGCGGCGGCGGAGGCGACGACGACGACGACGACGACGATGACGACGGCGACGTGACGGAGAACGAACACGACGACGACAACGACGACAAGCTCGACGACGACGACGACGACGACGACGACGACGGACGACGACAACGACAACGACGACGACGAAGACGACTACGACGGCGGCGGCGACGACGAAGAAATCAAGCTCGACGACGACGACGACGACGACGACGACGACGACGACGACGACGACGACGACGACGACGACGGCGACGACGACGACGACGACGACGGCGACGACGACGACGACGACGGACGACGCCAACGACGACGACGACAACGACGACGGCGGCGGCGACGACGACGACGACGACGACGACGACAACCTCGACCACGACAACGACGACGATCGTCTCACCAGAACCCGCTCAAAATCGGCCATGTGACCGTGTCCGGGGCCCTCCTGGGCCAGTGTCTCGAGGCGCGCCCAGCCACGAAGACGGGAACCCCCTGAAACCGCCCCCATTTCCCCCCCCCACAGAAAGGCCCGAGTCGAGGAGGTCGTCGTCGTCATGGCTGTCCTTCTCCTCGTCGTGCGACTGAAGGGGTCCCAGGACACACAAATAAATACACACAAATGAAAATATCCCCCACATTTTCCTATATTTTCCAGGTTTTTGTCTTCCCCCCCACTTCCCATATTTTCCCATCTTTTCCTGGGAATCGACGATTAATCGTGTCTGTGTGTTTTGTTCCCCTCCTGAAAGACGGGAACCCCCTCAGACCGCCCCAATCCCCTCCCACAGAAAGGCCCGAGTCGAGGAGGTAGTCGTCGTCACCGCTGTCCTTCTCCTCGTCGTGCGACTGAAGGGGTCCCAGGACACACAAATAAATACACACAAATGAAAATATCCCCCACATTTTCCCATATTTTCCAGGTTTTTGTCTTCCCCCCACTTCCCACATTTTCCCATCTTTTCCTGGGAATCGACGATTCATCGTGTCTGTGTGTTTTTTTCCCCTCCTGAAAGACGGGAACCCCCTCAGACCGCCCCAATCCCCCCCCCCAGGAAGGCCCGAGCCGAGGAGGTCGCCGTCGTCGTCGTCGCTGTCCTTCTCCTCGTCGTGCGGCGACGGCGACGAGGAGCGGGCGGAGACGACGAGGGCGGCGACGAGCGGGCGGGCCTTGGCACGGCGGTCGGCGATGTCCTGCTTCGCCAGGGCGGCCTGCACCGCGCCGGCCTGCTGCGAGAGCACGCCCTTGCGGCAGGCATCGAAGGCGCCTGAGGGGAGGGAGGGAGGGGGGGGTGGCAACGAGGGAGGGAGGGAGGGAGGAGGGAGGGGAGGGAGGGAGGGAGGAAAGGGAGGAGAGGGAAGCGGGGGAGGAGGGAGGGGAGGGGGCAGGAGGGAGGGGAGGGAGGGAGGGGGGGAAGGAAGGAGGGTGGAGAGGGAGAGGGGGGAAGGACAAGCGAGGCGCGCCCGCGCCGGATCCGGCATCATACCCCTCCCTCCCATCCCTGCCCGCTGCGCTGATGCGCTTCTCGATCCGTGGACGCGTGTCATTACCAGCCTGGAACATATCCCTATCCCTATGCTGGGCATCTCCTCATCACGATGCCAGTCTTAGGGATTCCCTTATTTTTGAGGGCGCATCCATAACTAAGATTGTCATCGCCTTTTGGCGTGTCAATCTTAGGGATAGGGATAAGTTCGAGGCTGGTGGTGCTATAGCCGAGCTGGAACTCCAAGGAAAGACCCCTATCGTGTTATGCGAGGTCAGAACGTGGGAGCTGCGCACGCGGGAGGAGGTGGCGGGTGAGCAGGAGAGTGAGCAGGAGGAAACGAAGGAGGAGGAGGAGGAGGAAAGCAGGGGGATGTGGAAGGAGGAAGACGGGGACGAACGGCGGCATCAGGGCGTGGAGTAGAAGGAGCCGGGGTAGCAGGAGGACCAGGGGGAAGGCCGAGGAGGGAAGACGAGGGCTCGGACGTCACGGAAGGGCTTGGTTTGCCACAGGAGGGAAGACGAGGGCTCAGACGTCACAGGAGGCGGCAAGGATGCGACAGGACTGGGATCCAGAGAAACGGCCGGCGCTGGGACGAGAGCGCAATTCCGAACGACGGGAGCAAAGCGCCGATCCGAAAGCGAGGCCCACGCTGCAGCGGGAGCACCCTTGGGAAGCACCGAAGCAATCGGATAGCAAACAAAGTAGCATAGGGAACCTCACCATTACTCGGGTCTGTGCGAAAAGAAGATGCCGAGAGAATGAGCGACCTTCCTGACGGACACAGGGGAGAGACGAGAGTACGATTCAGAATGTGCAAGTGTGGAGCAGTGAGGAGTGGAGCGGGCACCGTCACAGGGTGACGATCCAGACAGTAGCACGCGCCCTCAGCTCGTAGAGCAACGGCCAGGGAGAGCAGTCGGGCGCAGCAGAAGGCAGACTCAACCAACCAGCCGAGTTTTCAGCGCCGCCTGCCAGGATGGAGCGAGCATGAAGCTCCACTGCGCCAGACCAAGAAAGACGCAATAATCACAAACACACATGGCAGCCAAGGCAAGCGCCAGAGAATGTGACGAGTCACGGCCCCACAACCTCAAGTGGCACATGATATAAAGGATCAGAAACTTGCCGTCGCTCGGACGTCAATTTCCCGTGCATTTTTCGGTTTCGTGCGTGTATGTTTTTGCTCGATGGTGCAGGATGGTCCTCGATGGTTCTCGCCGAGAAAAAATGCACACGTCCGAGCGATGCCAAAGAAAACGCCATCACATGATTGGGCGTACGCGGCGCCGACCCGACAGAAGAAACAGCAGACGCGCCAGCTGTCGAGGTGGGCCGACGTGCGACCTGGCACAACCCAGTGGGCACGGCACCTGCAACCCTGACATAAAACAGTGCATACCACAAGGCCAACACTTCCGACCAAGCACCGTAAATGTGACGTGGCATCGGAACCAGATAACTGCAAAGGTGTGGAACATACGGGCCCTCAGGGTAGCCCTGGAGCACATAATAAACAATCCCAAACCAGTCCAACAAAAATGGCGTACCCAAGAAAGTAAAGAGGCGCGATTGATTTAGATAGGCGCTACTGACCCTTCCAGTGCCTCGAGCGCCCAAGAACAACACCAGCCCCATCCGACAAAATCATCCTCTTTCTGCCAGAGCTCAAAACGACATGACACTCTGCGTTTGCACCGCTTGGCCAACGCGTAGGGAGAAGACAGGAGGGGGGGAGGAGGGAGGAGGGAGGAAGGGGGGGAGGGAGGGAGGAGAGGGAGGAGAGGGAGGAGAGGGAGGCAAGGGAGGATCGACATTCGAGTTCCACTAGGGGTCTGAATCTTTTGGTTAAGCTCTAGGGGCCTCTGAGCGGGAGGCGGCTCGACGTTCGAGGCTTGGGCCTCCTCGAATGAAGGGGCCCTGGGACACACAAATAAATACACACAAATAAAAGGATTCCCCATATTTTCCTATATTTTCTGGGTTTTCGTCTTCCCCCCCACTTCCCATATTTTCCCATATGTTCTTGGGGATCGACGATTAATTGTGTCTGTGTGTTTTTATCCCCTCCTGATGGAAGCACCCCGTCCCCACGGCGGACCGCAGCAGCTCAACTTGACCAGACGAGGCCAGGGCGAGGCCCAAATCGGGCGAGGACACATCGAGAATCTCTGAGATCCGGCAGTTCTGAAAGATGCAGCGGGCGCCGCGGCCATTGCAGAGCGTTCCAGAACGCTCTGAGGGCGCCCCCGCATACCCTGGAACGGATGCATGCTTGTCCTCGCCCCGCCCGGATTAATTTTTCAATCGGCCGAACTGTTACGTGGCGCACACATGCGGTACAAAATCTTCCAAGACCTCCAGCGTCTTGGAAAACACGCGGTGGAGATGCATCACCTTCTCTGCCCCTGGGGGACACACGCCGGGCCGCGGCACCGTGTAACAACTACTCGAGACGAGAAGCCGGCCCCGGGGAAGGGATCGGGACTTCCAGGGACGCCGTATGGAACAACAAAACCAAAAAAATTGATCTCTGGGCTGCTATAAGAAATCTTTGGGCACACTCTTCGTCGGTCTTTGCGGGTCCTAAGGAACCCAGAGTTCCTGTGGTTCCCTGGACCCATCGGGGGACACGAAATATCCGAGCGCACCTGCTGACATGCCGATTTCTCATTATGTGCCGACTGCAAGGGACAATACAACATGTGTTCTAGTAGATGTTGTGCAATCGATGTTGTGTAATTTACTGGATGCAATCTACGTGGTGTATACTGTGCACTACATGTTGTGCAGTGCGTGTTCTGCAGTCTTTCTGGGGCAACACATGTGGCACAATCGAACGGGTGGAAGATACTTGGCGCAGTCAAGGTAGTGCAGTCTATGTTATGCTTTATGTGTAGTGCAATATGATTGGTGCAGTCTACGTGGCGCAATGGTTTTTACGAAAAAGCTGACACGGGCCACGCTCTTGCAAACATCCGACCCACCTACCAAAACATAGTTTGCAAAACACATGCGGCGGCGATTGCGATGAGTGTTTGGCGTTGGCTGTTGCACCTCTGCGGCCGCGCCAACCCAAACACGCGCGCGCAGCGGCCAGCTAGTTTGGCGCGACCGACGCAGCAGCGGTGGCGCTGACCGCTGGGCACATCCTGGCGGGCACTTCACTGCGAGTCGGCGGCTTGGGCGGGCGCGGTATCATGGCAACGTCGACAACGGTAGACACGACGATTCGAATAGCGATGGTGGGCAGAGAATGAGGGGGGGGGGCGATACCGGCCTGCCTGGGCTGGTGCGAGCTCAAATTTAGGATGGACGGTGGGGCAAAATGACATGCAAATTGCAATATGGAAAAGGGAGCCGTTAAGTCCGGGGGGGGGGTCGATCCCAACTCATGTTTTAGACCAGATAACCTATGATGTGTAATTTGTTTTTTGCAAACGAATTGTCAAATTCCATGCTCTTACAAACGTCCCACCCACCCACCCGCAACTCGGTTTGCAAAACCCATGCGGCGGCGATTGCGATGAGTGTTTGGCGTTGGCTGTTGCACCTCTGCGGCCGCGCCAACCCAACCACGCGCGCGCAGCGGCCAGCTAGTTTGGCGCGACCGACGCAGCAGCGGTGGCGCTGACCGCTGGGCACATCCCGGTGGGCACTTCACTGCGAGTCGGCGGCTTGGGCGGGCGCGGTATCATGGCAACGTCGACAACGGTAGACACGATGATGATAGTAGCGATGCTGGTAACGACGTTGACAACGACAAGCGGCCACTGACGGCGCCGATGCTGATCACATCGACGATGATGACGGCGTCCTCGCGTGGTTTTGGCAAGAGTTCGACATTCGCGCGGGGCCGATGCGCGAGAGTGGCCCGCATGGTATCATTTGACACGGATCGTGCCCCACCCCAGCACGCGCGAAAGGGCGTGCGAATGATCACGGCATGCGGCGCGAGAAGCCCGGCTGGCGGAATTCCACGAAAATCTTGAAAAAAAAACGATGGAGTCCTCAAGAATTCGCAAGACCGCGAGCGCAAGTTTTTTTGAGAACTGATGTTGCGAGAACCGCGCACTTCGTCCCACCTTGTTGCAAGGGATTCCCGCGACAGCACAAGCGCAAGGACGTTCGAACGATTTCGACATGCGCGCGCCAAGCCTTTTTTCGGTAGCGTGCTATGACATTGCGGCAGAACGCACAATTCGCTTCACAATTCGCCACAGCGCGCGCAAGTTTGTTTGAAAACCCGTGTTGCGAAACCATGTGTTTTGTATGTTGTTGGGGCACTCGATTGTGAAATCCTTACGAAAGCAAGCGTTTGTGAAAGATTCTGGCATGCGCGCGCGACGACGCGCACGTGTGCACTTCGTTTATTCTGCTGCAAAGGATTTTGAGGAGAACAAAAACGTGTGACTGTTGATAAACAACTGCGCGCACATCAGTTTTTGCAAAGGATGGCGGGGGAAACGGGGGCGACACAGGCTCGGCTGGGATGGTACGGGTTCATATTTAGGATGGACGATGGGGTAGAATCATATATAAATCGCAGGACGAAAAGGTGAACCGATAATCCTGGGGGGAAGACTCTTTTGAACAAGGAAAATGTATGCGGTGCACTCGGCGTGGTGCAATCTACGTGGTGCAACTCACTTGTGGAAACCGCAAGTGTCAACTCCACTGCTCGCGCAATCATCCCACCGACACACCCGCAAACTGTGATGCTAAACCGCGTGGCCGAATTTAATCAAGATGATGAAAAAAAAAACACGGCGTTCTTTAAAATATCGCAAAAGCACAAGCGCAACTTTCGTTTTGAAAACTGATGTTGGAACACTATATGTGTTTATATGTGTTTCCGGAAACTCGATTCTGAAATCCTTACGAAGCCCTGGGTTTTCGAAACAATCCGGCATGCACGCGCGACGACGCGCGCGTGTGCACTTCGTTGAATATGTTGCAAGGGGTTTTTGCGACAGCACGCGCGCAAAGGCGCTCGAACGATTTCGACATGTGCGCGCGGGAGGCCCATCTGGAAAAAGTATGTGAACATGTTCAAAAACCCATGGTTGTCATCAGAATTCGCAAGATCGCGACGGCAAACTGCTTGTTGAACCTTCGCATTGCGAAACCATGTTTTTGTTTCTATGCTGTCAGGGGTACTCGATTTTGAAATCCTTACGAACATTGGAATGTTTGAAAGATTTTCGGCGTGCGCGCACGAGGCCGCGCGCGCGCACTTCGTCCCACTAGTTTTGCCAGGGATTGTTGACACATGATTTTTGTTGATAAACGAGTGCGCGCGTTTTTTCGTAGAGGACGAGGGGGGCGATCCCCGCATGCCTGTGATGTTGCGAGCTCACATTTAGGATGGACGATGTGGTGGATGCATGTGAATTTGAAAATACGGAAAAATGCCGTTAAGTACGGGTGGGGGGAGGTAGATCCAAGTGTTGCAAGAACGGAGAATCTATGTGGTGCAATTTTTGCGGTGCGGTCTACGAAGCGCAACTCACCCTGCCAAACTTGGAATTGTCAACCCCACCGCTCGCGCAAACATCCCACCCACCCACCCGCAATGTGGTTTGTATAACCCATGCAACGGCGATGCTGATGAGTGCTTGACGTTAGCTGGTGCGTCTTTGCGGCCGCGCTAGCCCGCGCATGCTCGCGCGCGCAGCGACCAGCCAGTCCAGCGCGACCGACGCGGCCGCGGAGGCGCTGACCACAGGACACTTCCCAGCGGGCACTTTTGTGCGACTCGCTGACGTGGGCTGGCGCGGTATCATGGCGACGCCGACAACGGTAGACACGATCATGAAAGCAGCGATGATGGTGACGATGGCGGCGAGGATGACGGCAAGGCCAATGACGGCGCTGATGTTGACCACGCCAGCCGATAACGATGACGATGTCCTCGCGTCGGTGATGAAGGTTTTGGAAGGACTTCGACATGCGCGCGCGGCCGACGCGCGCGAGTGGCCCGCGTGGTATTATTTGGCACGGATCGCGCCACCCCCCACCCCCCAGCACGCGCGCAAGGGCGCTCGAATGAGTACAACATGCGGCGAGAGATGCCCATTTGGCAGAACTGGATGGAATGTAGGGAAACCTATGGCTTACACAGGAATCCGCAAGACCGCGAGCGCAGGCTTTTTTGAAAACTGATGTTGCGGAACCATGCGCTTGTGTTTTAAAACATGTGTTTTGGGCACGCGTTGTTTGGACCCCCCGCGAAATCGAAGGTTTGTGAAGGATTGCGGCATGCGCGCGGCAACGCGCGCGCGTGCACGTCACCCCTTGTCTGTGCAAGGCTTTATCGCGACAGCACGCGCACAAGTGCTTTCAAACGATTTCGACATGCGCGCGCGAAAGGCCCGTTTGGTAGCATGTGTGACATGTTTGAAACACATACGGTTGTCCTAAGCATTCGCAAAGGCGCGAGCGCCAATTGTTTTCAAAACACTTGGTGCGAAACCATGTGTTTCATCTATGTTTGGGACACTCGATTTTGAAATCCCTGTGAAATCCCAGGTTGTCGAAGGATTTCGGCATGCGCGCGCGACGACGCGCGCCAGTGCACTTGATCTCACGTTTTGCGAGAAATTCTTGGAAACGAATGACGTTTGGTAAAAGAGTGCGCGCGCATACTAATTGTTACAGAAGATGAAGGGAGGGCGATCCCGGCCTGCCTGGGATGGTACGAATTAAAAATTTGAACGGACGATGGGGCAGAATCGTATGCACATTGCAATACGACATGGGGAGCCGTTAAGTCCGTGGGGGGGGTAGACCCGAATACTCTGATAGACAGGAGAATCTGGGCGACGCCAATGCGGCGACGGCGACCACGGAGCCGCCAGACCGACCCTCAGGCCCAGACGACGGGCGGCGCCGAGGCGGCGACGGGGCGGCGACGGCGACCACGAAGCCGCCAGACCGACCCCCAGGCCCGGTTCCCTTCGACAAAGAAGTAAGAACCACCAAGCACTGTTTGCGGAATTGAAGTGTGGCCCGCGCTGATGGGGACCTCCATTCCGAACGACTGGCGCAGTGCACCGATCCTGAAATGGGTGCCAACGTTGAAGCGGGAGCACCGTGTTGTATGACAGAAGACGTCCCGATTGCAAAACAAAAAAAACGTGAAAATAAACCTTGGGAATCCTGCGTGTGAAACAGACAGAATCCAAGAGAAAGGGAACACGTTCTCTCAGAATACGGGGAAAGAAAGAAGTAGCACTTACATTGAGTCATTCAGAAGGGGGGGGAGGAGGAGGAGGAGGAGGAGGAGGAGGAGAGGAGAAGGAGGAAGAAGAGGAGGAAGAGGACGACAACGACGACGACGGCGCGAGAGGACGAGGAGGCAGCAGGCGCCGAAGAGAGGCGTGCACTTGGCTTCCCGATTCTTCTGGTTGGCCTTGACATTGTCTTGCACGCACCTTAAGTAGACGCTGCCGGGAATCCGGCACGGGTGGTCGAGGTCTGTCGAGTCCTTGAACATGGAGGTGTACATCTCCGCCTTCATCTGTCTTGCGTTGCTACTCAGGGAGTCCTCGAGCTCCGGCTTCCCCTGGACGAGGTCGGACCACATGAGCTTCTTCTCGTCGGGCACCGAGGGGTTGTTGATGGACAGGCCCGTGAAGTTGTTGTCGTCGAGGGCCTTCTTGATGGCCACGTTGCGCTCCATGCTGAAGCGGCGCTGCAGGAACCAATCCTCGCTGGGTGGGCCCATCCATGTGGCTGGCTCCGGAAACCCTGTACCCAAAAATGGTGGCGCCTCGCTGTGCGGCCGCCCCCTGCGGCCCTCCCGCCGCCGTACCCCCCCATTCTACTTCGGCCGGCATGGCACCGAGGGAGCAAGACGCGCCGACGGCGCAGCGCTTCCTGGAGCGCGCCGCCCAACTACCTGGAGGCTCCAACCCCTGACAGAGGCTGGGGGGTCGGCCTGCGTTCCGGGTGCTGGTTGCCTCCGCCCCAGAAGTGTGCTTCTGCTTGGTGGAGGCCTATGGTTTCCCGGGGCAGCGAGGAAGCGGGCGGGGCGGAGGAGGAGCGATCCGGAGCGCCCTTGGAGAAAGCCCGCCTCCAGATCGGGCGATGGCTTAGGGGCGCGCTTGACAATGCTGGTTCCTGTCGCGTCGACGTGGAGAATGGATCCCCGCTCCGCGCAAGTCGCTCCATCTTGAGCGATGCAGGCTTTCCGACAGCGGAGGTCGCTGAAAATCGCGTGGCCCGGACCGCAGGAGGCCCCCTGCCTTGAGTCAGGTCGGGCATGTCCACCTACAGGCGGATTTTGGAGGAAAAATTCAAAATAGTCAAATGTTCAGAAATAGTAAAAACAGATTCGAAAAATCGTCCCCAGACTATGTTTCTACTATTGTTGAATACTTCTCCTGCAGAGGGACGGGCCCGACTTACACCTTGAGCGCCCCCGCCCGGGGTCGCTGCTGGATCGACGCGGTGGAAGCTGCCCGAGGTCTCTCGAGGTCCCAGGAGGTCGCGTCGGCCACACGCAAGAGTGACCGTTGGGGCAAGAGCGACCTCTGGCGCGAGGCTGCGAGTAGGGGGAAGGGGAGGAGAAGGAGCAGGGGGAGGAGGAGGAGGAGGAGGAGGAGGAGGAGGAGGAGGAGGAGGAGGAGGAGGAGGAGGAGGAGAGGAGGAGGAGGAGGAGGAGGAGGAGGGGGGGGGGGGGGGGGGGGGGGGAGGGAGGAGGAGGCGGGAGGGAGGAGAGGAGGCGGAGGAGGAGGAGGAGGAGGAGGAGGAGGAGGAGGAGGAGGAGGCACGGAGGAGGCATGGCTGGTGGCGGCGGGCGCCTCTGGAGAAGCAGCGGGCGCGCAGGGGGCACGCACACGCGGGGGCCTGCCTCTCTCTGGCGAGCCCTCGAAGCGAAGGCTCGGCTGTGAGGAGGTGCGGGGTGGCCAATAAAGGGGCCCTCGGACACACAAGTAAATACACACAAATAAAAAGACTCCCCATATTTCCCCATATTTTCTGGGTTCTTGTCTTTCCCCCCGCTTCCCATATTTTCCCCTATTTTCCTGGGAATCGACGATTGATTGTGTCTGTGTTTTTTACCCTCCTGACAAGCCCGGCGCGAAGGGCGCTGCGATACCGCCTCGCGTTTCGCGATCGAGGGGCCACGTGGGGCCCGCAAGGGTAACTCCGGTGGAAGGTCCCGCTTGCCTGTAGTCGATCTCGGGAGGTACGGGACGTTTCAGGGCCCAGATCACCGACGATCTGAACGCTTTGAGTCCAAGCGTTTCTCCCAGATTTCGGCACCCGGGGCTTGTTTCGGGTCACGGGGCCAGAGAGAGTATCCGGGACGAGAAATTCGCCTGGGGAAGAGGTCAGGGCTTCTGGGGGCGCGGATGGAAGAACGCACGTTGCCGTACGGGAGGTCGCGGGAGGCTTCCAGAGATCTGAGGCCTCTGGAAGCCACACGGCCACAGCCATACAAGAAACGTCGATCCTCGAAGCTCGCGTCTGAGTGGCGTCCGCCTGCTGAGGAGGAGGGGGACGGAGGCGGGGAATCGGGGGCGACCAAGAAAGGGGCGCCCAAGAAGGGGGGCGCGAATCATGGCCGGCGTCATGTGCGCGGCCCAGGAGGGGCCGGGGACGCATTGAAATCACCCGACCCTCCGGCGTGTGTGAGACGCTGTCGTCGTCTTCGTCGTCGTCGTCGCCAGCCCCAAGGAAACCTTGAAACGACCCGAGAGACGTCATAGTTCAGTCGACTACCTCCCCCATTTTCCCCTTCCCCTCCCTGACGGAGGGGGGAAGGGCTACCAGCCTGGAACATATCCCTATCCCTGTGCTGGGCACCTCCTCATCACGATGCCAATCTTAGGGATTCCCTTATTTTTGAAGGCGAATCCCTAAGATTGTCATCGCCTTTTGGCGTGTCAATCTTAGGGATGGGGATACGTTCGAGGCTGGTAAGAGGGGGGGGGGGTGGAAGGGGGGGTCGTGGGTCCGATTGCCGCCCCGCCCCCCCCCCCCCCCGGCCCCATGGTTTCCTGGCGGCCCTCGCTCCTCCTCCTCCTCCTCCTCCTCCTCCTCCTCCTCCTCCTCCCTCCCCTCCTCCTCCTCCTCCTCCTCCTCCTCCTCCTCCTCCTCCCCCCCCCCCTCCTCCCCCTCCTCCTCCTCCTCATCCTCCCCCTCCCGTCCCGCGGAGCAGGGTGGCCCTGGGTCAGAATCCGCCCCCCCCCCCCCGGGAGTCCAAACGGGTCCAGGGGGGGCGCCAGCGGGTGTCCCCGGGGAGGTCCCGCCTTCAGGGAGGCGCCGTGACATCTGAGGAGGTATTCCGGCCCGCGCCATGAAGTCCACCCCCGCCTATGGTCATCACCCCCTCGTGGCCGCTCCCGACAAGCGATCTGGACAAGATAAGAACAATCCCCACCCCCTATATCGGGGGAAAACCGCGGCCGCGCTGGTCGATCCCTCCCGCCCCCACACCCCACACCCCGGGGGTGGGGGTGGATGGTGCCGTCCCTTCGGCTTTCGCATCATCCATCCCCCACCTGGCGGGGTTACTGAAGGGGCCCAGGGACACGCAAATGAATAGACACAAATCCCAGGATTCCCCAGATTTTCCCATAGCTTCTGGGCTTTCGTCTTCCCCCCCACTTCCCATATTTTCCTACGTTTTCATGGGGGTCGACGATTCATTGTGTCTGTGTGTTTTTGTTCCCCCTCCTGAGCTAATCTGAGACAGGTACCTTACCCTGCTCCCCGGTGGGGGCGGGGCGGCCAGAGTCGACGCCAAGGGGGGGGACTGCAACGGGGGGGGTTAGCGAAGCAGCTCCTGCAAGATGGCTCTCACCGCGCCAGCGCGGGGTTAGCGCCTGGTGGCGGGGCCAGCACCGGCTGCACGCCACAGATGCCGTATGTAACCCCCGCCTTTCCCTCTTCCGCCTCTCGCCCGACCCGACGCCCCGATTGTTGTTCACAACGTTGACCCCCAGACCTCTCGACCCATTCCCCGGGGCCCGTCTCTCCACATCACGGATATTCGAAGAGCGGTCCCGAGGCCCGGGGAGGGCCACTGAAAGCGGACATGGCCCAAAAACTTCCGCCGTGATATTTCCAAGCGCCTCGAGGGGGTGTCAGGGCCCCCCCCCCTTGTCGTCCCCTACCCGAGATGGTTATGACGGTGATGAAGCGGTCCTCCTCCTCCTCCTCCTCCTCCTCCTCCTCCTCCTCCTCCTCCTCCTCCTTCTCCCCTCCTCCTCCTCCTACCCCTGCTCCTCTCCTCCTCCTCCTCCTCCTCCTCCTCCCCTCCTCCTCTCCGCCTCCTCCTACCTCCTCCTCCTCCTCCTCCTCCTCCTCCTCCTCCCCCTCCTCCTCCCCCCTCCTCCTCCTCCTCCCCTCCTCCCTCCTCCTCCCCCTTTCCTCCTCCTCCTCCTCCCCCTCCTCCTCCTCCCCTCCTCTCCTCCCTCCTCCTTCCCCTCCTCCTCCCCTCCTCCTCCTCCTCCTCCTCCTCTCACCCTCCCCCCTCCTCCTCCTCCTCCTCCTCCTCCTCCCCTCCTCCCCTCCTCCTCCTCCTCCTCCTCCCCCTCCTCCTCCTCCTCCTCCTCCTCCTCCTCCTCCCACTCCCCCTCCTCCTTCTTCTCCTCCTCCTCCTCCTCCTCCTCCCCCTTCTCCTCCGCGAGGTCCCGGCGCGGCCGGGGGGACGCGGAGGTCCGGGCCTCGGCCGCGTCGCCGCGCGCGCGCTTCACAAGGAGGGGGGGGGCGCGGCGGCTCACGCGCCGCGCAGCGCCGCGCGCCGGGTCTGGAGCAGGGAGTAGTCGGCGCCGCTGAGCACCGCCGCCGCCTGAAGGTGAGGTCTAACCAGCCTCGAACTTGTCCCTATCCCTGAGAGTGACACGCCAAAAGGCGATGACAATCTTAGGCATGCACCCTCAGAAACTGAGGGTGCATCCCTGAGATCGGCATCGTGACGAGGCGATGCCCAACATAGGGATAGGGATAGGTTCCAGGCTGGTAAAGGTCGGGCATGTCCCCCTACAGGCGGATTTGGGGCGAAAAATGAGGACTGGTCCGAAAAGACGCCACAGATGCTCAGAAATTGTAGAAGAATCGTCCCCAGACTATGTTGTAACTGTTTTGGTATATATCCTCCTGTAGAGGGACGGGCCCGACTGAAACTTCAGGTGAGCGTTCTTTGTTATTCGGCGTTTCGACATTTTGGGCGGAAGATGAGGGGGGAAGGGGGGGGAGCCTGGCGCCGGAGCTCTGCTCAGCGCGACGGTTTGCAACACTGGGTCCTAGGAGGGGAGACTCCGCCTGCTCGAAACACGGGCGCCAGAACAGCCAAGATCCACTCCATGGGGGGGGAGGGGGGGTGCGAGAGCCCGCGCCAATCGGCAAAAGAAATAATAACACAAAAAACACTCACTAATAACCACCCCGACACGCGAAGCCGTTTAGGAAGCACACCCAAAGGAGGCATCAAGCAGGGCAAGGCTGTTTACAGCAAGCGCCCAGGGCCGTTTGGCAAACGCCGATTGTCCGGGCCGGGTGGTTTGTTTTCCTCCGTTGATCGAGGGCGCGCCCGAGGTGGGTGCGGAGCAAGTGGGCACGATGCCCAGCAGCAAATGGCGTCCAAAACCGACAGCGGCAATGGATGGGCAGGCGGCCGCGTGCCTCGACACTGGACAGCACCCGCGGCGGCACCGACAGCGAGCCCCGTTCAGAAGGGGCAGGACCTGCTGTTGGTCTCCATCCCCATTCTTCCCGTAATGCGGGATGACGATCAATAAGAAAATAGGAGAGAACGATTCAAAAATAGTGTTCTGCTATTTCTGTACAATTTTCGGACTGGAGGAGAACGATTTCAAAAAAAAAGCTTTCCAGCCCGCGGCCGGTTTTTTCTAATCGTCATCCCGGGCGCCGCCGCGTGAACACGACCCCCGGTCATTTATTAATCGTCATCCTCCATTACCCCTTTCGATCGTGCCGAGCCTTGCCCAGGCTCTCGATCTCCTCCGTGCGCGCTTCCCTGCGCACGTCGAAGTCCGCCGCCGTGCCTTCAGCACGACGTGGTGCGCTGCAAGGGCTCCAACGGTTTCGAGCATCGAAGACAACGAAGCCGTTCTGGACCAGGACCCCCTGTTTCCCGGGCGTTCTCCGGAATACCTGGGGTGTGCCGCATGTGCTTTGGGGGGACTTCGCCAGCCTAAAACTTCCCCCGGGACCCGCAAGGGTGTCCCCCTCCTTTGAACGATCTCCTCCAAAAAGGCCTCAAGATGGCCCCTGAGGTTCCCCAAGGCTGCCCCGAGAAGGCCCCGAGAGGTGCCCAGGAGGCCCCAAGAGGCCCCTGAGAGGACCACAAGGTGCACCCAAGATGCTCCCCACAGACCCCCAACAGGCCCCACAAGGCTCCCAAGAGGCACCCAAGACGCCCCAAGAGGCCCCCTGCCAAAAGACACCAAAGACACCCCAAGAGGAGTCCAAGAAGCATTTGGAAGAAATCCGAAGATACGCCGAGGGGCACCAAGAGGCTTCTGGCCATCCTGATCGCCCTCCTCATCCTCCTCCTCCTCCTCCTCCACCTCCTCCTCCTCCATTCCTCTTCCTTAAAAATGACTTCTCCCTGTCGCACCCCGAGGCCGGTCGAACGGGCGGGCCGGGCGTTTCGCCTGAAACATCCTCACCACTTATGACCCTGAAGCTTAAGCATCGACAAAAGTTTCCCAGATGGAGGGCGGGTCTTTTTCAAAATGTGGCTCTCGCCGTAGCGGCGAGCACAATTTGTTCTAAACAATGGCAACGGGCCCGCGGAGTGAGGGTGGGCCGTTTTCAAAATATGGCTCTCGCCTTAGTGCCGCGCACATTCGTGTTGAACGTTTGCAAGAGCTTCGTGGACTGAGGGCGCGCCGGCTTCAACATGTGACTCTCGCCTTAGCGCCGCGCACACTGGTTGTAAACAGTTGCAGGAGTCTCTCGGATTGAGAGCGGTTCCTTTTCAAGATGTGGCTCTCGCCTTCGCGCCGCGCACATCCTGTCTTTTTAAAAATTGCAACACGGATTCCCATGGCCAGCGTACAAGGAATCGCGTCTTGGGAAGATTCCGGGATATAAGGGTGCAACGATTACTTTGATTCGAGGTGTTGAAGTCCCTGGAATGGCGTTCTGGCACGATTCAGGATCGTCAAGACGCAACAATCAGGTTGATCCGTGGCGGTGGAGTCCCGAGAACAATGTTGTGGTACGCTTCAGGCTCTTCAAGCGATTGTCTTCCAACAAGGCTGTTCCCTCATTCGAGATGAACCGTTGTAGGGGCCTATGGAGAGGGAGCTTGGAGGAATGGTTTATTCCAACATCGTTGATGACTCTTGGGTTTAAACTGGTCCTGCTCCTCCTCCTCCTCATCATCATCCTCCTCTTCCTCTTCCTCCTCCTCATCCACAGATTCCTCATCCTTCCTCCTCCCTCCTCCCACTCACCATCTTCCTCATCCTCTTCCTCATCCTCATCCTCCTCCTCCTCCTTCTCCTCCAACGCCTCATCCAACGCCTCATCCTGTTCCTTTAATTCCTCCTCCATCCTCCCCCTCTTCGGGGAGACCGTCTCGCCCCGTCCTTTCTTCCACTGCACGATCCTCCACATCCCTGGTTTGGGCAACTCGTCTGGACGTTGTTTCTGGATGGGCTGGTGGGTCTACGCGAAGCGTCTAAAATAAGTCATGAGCCAGTCACACTCCGAGTGCAGGTTCGCGATGACTTGCTTCGTCTCCATGAGCTCGACGGTGAGACCCTTCTCGTTGTCCTCCTCGGCCTGCAGCGACTCCTCGCCCTTCGCTTTCGCCGCGGTCTTGTCGGTCAGCGCCTTGGAGTCTGCCGCACGCTTGGCCCCCGCGTCAGACATAAGCGTTTCATAGTCAGACTGCGCGTCCTTCTCGGACACCTTGGCCTCGGACATTTCCTTGTCAAGATCGCCAACCAGCAGATCGATCATGCTGATGACGCCACCCGTTTCTTGCCCCTTCTTCACGTACGCACCGAAGGTTTCTGGGGGCGGCGGCGGGGCCGCATCGCCGCCGCTCCTCCTGTGGGCAAGCACCTGAACAAGCTGGGGGGGCGTCTGCGCGAGCGACTCGGGCTTGTAGAGCTTGGGATTGTCCGCCGCCGCGCTTGCAGCAAATCTTGTGTCGGTCGGTCGGTGATCGGGCTCCCTGCTGCCAGGCTACGCTGCTTCGCCGCGCGCGCGTGTCTGCGACGCAAACAAGAGTGTCGTCCCTTGCGGTGCTGGGTGATCCGCGCCTTGCAAAAACAGCATTAACTGGAGCCTGCCGATGCATCGGGCCTTACATGCAAGCATTCTTGATTACCAGATCCATGTGTAGAGCCCTGGGTGAAACGTTCATCCGCCCCCGCCCCACACACACACACAGCCCCATCCCCCAGGCGCACCAACCCAACCCGGCTGTGGCGGATTCACGCGATAGCGCAGTTGCATAAAACTTATTGAGGCGATTCTTGGCCCACAAGAGCACGTCTTTGGCCGCCTTGTTGTTCGTCATCAGATCCTTGAAGTCCGAGTTCTCCTCCTTGCGAAGTTTGGTCGCTTCAGCGACACTGGCGTCCAGGTCGTTGATGCTGACCTTGAGGTCGGATATCTCCGAAGTCCAAGTTGCTATGGCGCCCTTCAGCTCCTCGATCGCCGTCCCTGACACCTCGATGGAGCGTTCCAGCTGCTTGCCCGTGTCCTCGGACTTATCGAGCTCGCTCTCGCAATACTTCTTCTTGCCGTCGTCGTCTGCCTGCTCTCGCTTCAGGTTGGCGACCATGTCCTGGATCAATTTAAGTACCTTCTCGAAGCCTGCTGACTTTCCCTGCAACGCCAGCAGCACCAGGTCGATCTCCGTTCCCCTGCGCGGAGCATTCCTCAGCACTGCCACGGCGCGGGAGCGCGTGACTGCGGTACCCTCCTGCAGCTGCACCAAGGAAGCGGAAGGGCCTGGAAGAGTTTTCTTGAATCCTCCAGCCCCTTTCGGGGCGCAAGGCTGCAAACGTGTGCATGCCCGACTGATTGCTTGCTGCGTATGTTACTTGTCCCTCAGTTACCAGAGCTGCAACAAGGTCTAGGTCAAGAAGACTCGTTTGGTACGAAGCGAAGCGGCGCTGGTGTCTTTTACATGTACATTTCTTCTCTTAAGATGTTCGAGCGGGGCCCCACGCGCGAAATTGAACATGGGCAACGAGCCATTTTGGCAATCTCCGAAATTCGGCTTTGCCTAAGAAAGCCTCATCTGCTTGTGAAGAGAACCGCTCGGTGCGAGGCCTGGCCAGCCGGCCCTCCCCTGCGTTGCCTGGTCCTGTTTCCCCACCAGGGCGTTCTTCAGAGCTGCTTGGTTTGAGCAGGGACCGACCGTCCCGGCATTCCTGTAGGCCTACCACGACATGTTCAAAAGCAGCGTTCTCAGAACATAAACCCGATGTGTGAAAACAAAAAAGACCCAGCCAGAAATGTTCGAAACAAATGCCATGCAAACCACGAACGGTTCTGAGAACATTCTCTGGTGGGTCTACAGGCGAGCCAGGACGCTTCGCCACTGCTTGATTGGCCATATTTCCTTACAAGGCATTGCCCACCCTGCCCAGAAGGCGGTCCCAGGGGTACTTCTTCTTGTTCCTTAACAGAGGAGTTCCCTGGGGCTGCTTGGTCTTTCCTTACAAGGGATCCCCAAGGTTGCTTGGCTTCGTGCCTTACTGCCTTCCCCGGGTTGCCTGGTTTTGTGTCCTTACTGCATGCCCCAGGGCGTTTGGTCCTTATCTCTCACATACGTCATTCCCCAGGATAGTTGTTTGCTGCCTTGCTACCCTGTAACGCTAAGCGCTAAGCAATACAAAGCCACCCCAAGCAATGCCAAGCAATGCCACGCAACGCCAAGCAACGCAAAGAAACGTCAAGCAAAGCCAAGCACCGTCACACAATGCGAAGCAACGCCAAGAAACGCAAGGAAAAGCCAAGCAACGCCAAGCAACGCGCAGCAATTCCAAGCAACGCCAAGCAATGCAAGCAATGCCAAGCAATGCCATACAACGCCAAGCAACGCAAAGCAACTCAACGCAATGCCGAGCCATGCCAAGCAACGCCAAGCAATGTCAATAACACACAATGCCACTAAGGAAACTTCCCCCGGTTGGGGTCGCGCCGGGCTCATCGTATCGTCTGCCTCTTACATATCCAGTCCTGCCTCCTTTTCTACAGCCTAGAGGGGAGCCCGCACGTGACGGCCGATGTCTTTGCCTGTGCCTGCGCGTACTCATGGGAAGGCATTGGGCATGTATATGCGTATTTGCATGCGTCTGCGTCTGCATCTGCGTCTGAGTGTGTGCGTGCGTGTGTGTGCGTGTGTGCGTGTGCGCGCGTGTGCGTGCGTGCGCTTGTGCACGCGTACGCGAGTGAGCTCGCGTGCGCGCGTTCTCGTGTGCGCGTGCGCGCGTGTCATGACACGGCATGCGTCCCTTGACACCCCAGGGCCAAGCCACTCTAGCCCCCCGCTCCAACGAGCACGCGCACGAGCGCGGTGACGTATTCGCGCGGCAGCGCAGCGGGATAACTCCAAGCTGTCATCATCGTTGAGCACCTTAATGGTCTCGGCTAACGCAACCAGCTCCTCGGCGCGAACCTTGCACCTCGCCTCCCACTCGGCGTCCTTGGTGGCACAGCCTTTCTGGAGCTCCGCGAGGTAGATGGTGTCTTCGCCAAGGGTGTCCTTGGTCTCCTCAAGGTCATTGGTGTCTTCTGCGATCAGCACGCTGAGCTCGCCGAGGCGCATCATCTCTTCCTCGATCTGGGCTGTGAGGGTGGTCACTTCTTTCGTCTTCGCGGACATCATGGCATCGTAGGTCGCCTTCGCGTCCTCCTCGGCCTTCGTGGCCGCGAGCAGGTCGGCGCCCATTTCGTCGCCCATTTCCTTCAGAATTCCCGTGATCTCGCCGCTCTTCGGGGCATAGCTGGCGGCACTGGAGAGGAAGGCGAGCAAGTGCTGGCGGTCGGCGTCGCGCATGTTCGCCTTCTCCATGGCGTAGGTCCGGATGAGGTTTGCCGAGGAACTCTGAAGGAAGGAGGCACCCATCCCCTTCTCGATGGCCGCCACGGCGGCGGCGATGGCGCTGATATTCGTGTCGGCGTCGGACTTGAGCTTCATGAAGGCCGTGCTCTGCTGCGTGCGTAGGGCGGTGGCCTTGGCCATCTGGTCCTTGGCCTCCGCACGGCTGGCCGTGTGCTCCTTCAGGGCGGCGTCCGTGGCGCCCTTCTTCTCCACCTCCCCCTTGATCTTGGACTCCAGAGCCTCGATCTTGCCCCTGGAGGCCTCCATGGAAGTCTCGAGAGTGCTGGCGCCCGTCTTACAATAGCATGCAAACTCCTCTGAAAAAAAAGAACGCCAACTTTGGGAGATCCGCAGGGGCTTCTTGCATCGGCGCTGGACCCCCAGCGGCGGCGCCGGAGGTGCCGCCAGGTGGACCCAGCGCCGATCCCATAGATCTCCGAAAGTTCATGCTTGTGCCTTCTTCTGTTCGTCGATCCTCGTAGGCCTTCTTCTCCTTCTCGCCCTCCTCCTTCACCTGCTGCTTCATGTTCTGCAGCATGGTCACCACCTTTTGGCACGCCCGAGATGGGCCCCGAGAAAGTGGGCACGATGCTCAACAGCGAATGCCATCCAGGACCAACAGCGGCGACTGCTTGCCTCGAGCGGCCCACGTCCGCGGCGACACGCGACAGCGAGCCCTGCCTGACGCGGACGGGCAGCGCTTTCGGTCTTTGCCCCAATGCTTGCCTCAGGTCGGGCATGTCCTCCTACAGGGGGATTTCGGACGAAAAATTACAAATGCTCTAAAAACTGGACTGGCATAGGGGGGAATGCATCGACCTGGAATCGGCGATACATTGCCGATGGATTGGCGGTAGGCCGCCAAGAGTCAATCTGCACCTTCCTGGGCAGGTTGGGGCTATCGGGCCCTTATCGGCGATCTGTGGGCGATGAATTAGGGGTCGATGCATCCCCCCCTATGCCTATCCCCCCTATCGTTGCCCCCGGGGTTGGCTTGGGGTGGCCTGGTGGGCGGTGCTCGTCTCCGTGGCCAGGCCGGGTGGCCCGCACGGAGGGCCCGGGGCGGCCGCGCACAGCGGAGTGCCTCAGGACCTCGGGGCCTTTGGGACCCGCTCGCTCCCCGACGCAGCTCGTGACGAATCAAAAACACACACCCATACAGGGCAGGTTTTAATCCATAGGATTTATTTCTAAAAAATATCGGATTTTTAATACATGATTAATGTATGAATAAGCTGATGCATGAACTCATTGTTGTTTTTAATCATAAATCCCTGCATGTTTAATACATGATCCGCACGCGGAGCGTGTATTAAAAACGGCACTGTACTCATAGGGGGGTCGCCGCTCGATTTGGAGCGTTCCCCAGGGTCCCACAACCTGCACCCATACCCATAGCCAGTCCTCCTCCCAACGACCCCCCTAGGGCTTCGTTCGTCAGCTCGTGCGCGCCGCACCTTCCTGACCGGATTCGCCCGGTGCTCCGAGGCCTGGCCTGGGGCCAGCGCGCACAGCACGAGCGCGGCGGCGAGGCCGAGGCGCGCCATCCGGCGGGCGAGGCGACGCGCGGGCTCGGACGGGGCGGCTGCTGCGTTGGATGCTGTCGCGACAGCTCGAGTCGGGCTCGCTCGAGCCATGACACGGCCACGGCGGTACGGCCACCGTGCTGCCACATGGGAGCGCGGAAGAAGTGATGATGATGATGTTGATGATGATGATGAGGAGGAGGAGGAGGAGGAGGAGGGGGAGGGGGAGGAGGGGGAGG